GGTGTCTTGACTGGTTCAACTTGTGTGAGGACTCTCTTCTGGACAGCAGGAATGGTCAGAGCTCCCTTCCCCAGAAGCTGTTTACTTCTCTATAGCTGTGTAGAGGCCTTGTAGAAGCTTCCATAGTCTGCTTTCCCAGGTTTACCTCCTGAGTCTCCAGAGCCTCCTACCATTTCCTGGAGGGATTATTTCAATGCAGAGGAACCTACTATACAATACACATACATACACAAGTGTGCATTCACACACACACACAAATGAATACGTAGTATATAAAAATAAATAATTTAGACAGGAAAGCAATGTACACAGTCCTAAAACTAATCAAAATGGAAAGTAATATACCCATATTCTGGCTATAAAAAACATGCTTTACTAAATCCTAATGCAGACACACCCTATTGACAGTACCAAGGTCAGTATTTACTGTCTACATGTAGATTTGGGTTCTTTTATGATGAATGCAATGCACAGGTGGAAGAAATCAAAAAAGCATGAATGGAATTGAAGACAATGAGTCAAACGTGATTACTGTAATAACTTAATTTGATTCTGGAGGATTTGAAGTACCAGAGTGTTTTTGGAACATGCTTTATTATTTTCCACAATAGAATGCATTATATTTCCAGGTGCTATTATGGAATTGTTATTCATTTAGCAAAAATGTGGCTGTTTTAGCAAGAAATTATACTTTCATAATGAAATTGACTAAAAAATACAATGAAGCATTATCTAAAGAAAATACTTTCCAAGTATCAATGTTTTCCCATATTTTCTCTTATTGTGGAGCATGGGCTTTGAAGATTATGTATGTATACACATATTTTAAATTGTATTTAAAGATTAAGAATACAATCACTACAAGATCATTTCATTTGCTTCCAAATTATCTGTGAAATAATCACATTAAGCAAGAAGGAATTTTTGTTTCAAAAAGCAAATATTTGAGAAGTGTTTTTATATCTCTTAAGATCTACATGATCAAGGGGCTGGGGAGATAGCTCAGTCAATGAAGTGCATAAGAAAAACCAAAAAACCTGAGTTTGCTCCCCAGCATCCATGCAAAAAATCAGACGTTCCGGGAAGTAGAGACAAGCTGATCTCTTGGGCTTACCGACCAACCAGCCTAGCCTAATGTGGAGGAGGGAATTCCAGTGAGTGGCTGCCTCAAAAAACAAACAAGCAAAAGCACATACACACATATACACACACACACACACACACACACAGAGGATGTTGGATACTAGGAAATAGCCCTCAAGTTTGACCTCTGCCCTACATGTGCACACATATATGTGCAAGCACAAATACATAGCTACATATACATAGACACATGTACACACACATAAATACATATATACACAGTCACAGACGATATGATCATTGTTTAATCTATTGTTATTTCCTCAGTACTTAATGCCCAGGACAAAAACAAATGAGTTTTAAGATCAGAGTGGTCATGGTAATGAACTGACAGAATTTTTGTCTCTTTGGGAGTTCTGGCGACTGTCTCTTTATGTTCCTTGGGTCAAAGTGGCTGAGTCCCCTGCATTGCAGAACAGGAGACTGATGAGAAGCCAGAGGGAAGCAGCATGGGACAGACAGACAGCAGACAGAGCACAGAGCTCCCAGTAAATAGCCATGGCCTCTTTTCCCAGGGCCAGCACTAGCCATGGAAAATGAATCCATGCATTTCTCTTGTATCTTCTTTAAATCCTAGTCAGACCTTTGAAGATCTTTCAAGAAGTGCCTTTCTTTCTGTGCGTTTTGCAAAACCAGAAGAAGGTTAAGGAGGAGTGTTGCACTTTCTTGCCTTCGACCCCTCAACCTTCTCTGCCATTCTCAAATCCATCTGACTGGTGTAGTTTGCACAGGACTGGGAGACTTTCTTTAAGCAGTCACCTCTGTCCTGCTGTCTTTTTGTAATATTTTCAGTTTTCTATTTTATCATCAACACACCTCATTTTTGAACTGCTCTGTGGGTTATTATTGGCTCCAGCTTTTCACTTTGCTGGATGAGGAAAAGTGGAGAGAAAGCCTCAAGATTACATATTGCACGAACTATTTTGCCCTTAATTCCAAATGGAATCTTCCCTGTAGATGTAGTACAGACAGGCTTGAGCAAGGAGATCAGGGGATTAATTTTATGTTGACAATCCCAATTTTAACAGAAAATGCACCATTGGTGATGCTGTTAAACTTTAATAGTGGTTCATAATGGATTTCTGCAGCCACTTTTCTGTTTTCCTTCAATAACTAGAAGGAAATAATGGGACATAAGTTGTTTATATTAAAATTGTCCTTCTTTGTGTTAAGTGTACACAGATAAAAGTGCTGCGTGTGTTCAGAACATTCACTGGCTGGGCAGTTACTGTGTTCTTTCGGGCATTTTGTTCTTTGTCCATGTTGCTCAGGCCTCAACCTTGCTTTTGTGTGTGTGTGTGTACATTTACGACAGCCATCTTGTACAACCTTTTGTGTGTGTGTGTACATTTACGACAGCCATCTTGTACAACCTTGTGTGTGTGTGTGTACATTTACAACAGCCATATTGTACAAGCTCTTTGATATATTATAGCATCATCATCCATAAAGAAATAGATTTTGTTCAAATAAACATAACAATGGAGAAAATTTCTTGTTATAGTCTAATCTCAAGCAAGAAAAAAAAAGTGCTTGAAATTTAAAAAAAAAAGTTTTAGGTGTGTGTGACCTGAAAAATGAGTTCAATTCTGTTCCTATCACTGTTCCAGCTCAAGAAATTTGGTAACTAGCAACCTTCAGTTTTCTTCTCTTCAAAAGGTGGTTAATAGTTGGTAATATTTGCCCTTGTCACCTCTTGCCCATATTCCTACATAAAAAGACAGAGATTCCCTTAGCTAAACATGTTTTATAAAACAAACTCTTATGGTAATAATTTACCAAAGTAAAAATGGAAGCTTGTGTACTTCATTTTCTTAATTGTCTGTGGAATCTGGAAACTCAGTCTCATAGAAGTCTAGAACAAAATAGCCTGGAAGGAAGTTGGGTAATAATAGATTTGTGCAGCCCAGTAGAAGCACCTTCTTATGTCCAATGGCATACTGATAACTCTGGCTGCAAACGTGTGTGTGTGTGTGTGTGTGTGTGTGTGTGTTGATGACAATTATGCATACCACAATATGCATGTGGAGATCAAAGGACAATGTTTGGGAGGCAGTTTTCTCCTTCCACCTTGTTTTGAAACAGGCATTGTCTTGTTTCTGTTACTGAACTATGTATTCCAGGCTAGCTGGTCCTCGAACTTCTGGGTGGTTCTCCATCTCTACCTTACCACCTCACAGTAAGGGTTCTGGTATTGCAGGTGCCTACCAGTGTATCAGATTTTTCAACGTTGGTTCCAGGGATGGCACTCAGATGGTTAATTTTTCTGTCTCAAATAGCTAAAAGAAAGTTGGTCTGAATGCCAGGTACCTTCACTTTATCATTATGTTACTTAAATATGTGTATTAAAGTGTTGTACCATACCCCATAACTATGCAAGTCAATTAAATATATGTTGAACATAAATCTTAAAAGCTGCATTTAAAAAGAGAGGCAATACATAAAGCCAGTTGCATTTTGCAGAAAATATTCTATATAAAGTGATTTTGTAGTGAAAATTTACCACATAGGACTCTGCTTTCCTTTCAGACCTCTATTTCTCACTGTCTTCATTTTCAGTGACTTTCCATCATAAATCCCTGTGTGCAATGGAAATACATACATCAGCTCTGAATGCTTCCGTGTTCCTTTAAGGCTCCCCTTCTTCCTGCAAACACACCAGATTCTTCCAAGCCTTCTTAGTTTTGGTCATTCAGACACATAGATATCATAATTGCATTGTTTCTCATGATTATAATGTTAATTGGTCAATATTGGTTTTATTCCATAATAATTTAAGTCCTTTATGCTGATTGAACTTACTGAAGTCATATATCTATCAGTTTTATGAACAAGACACATCAGATTTTACAAACAACTTTAAGTACATAGCAAATTTTATGTTTATTATGAAGTATTATTGAACTGGATGTTTCTATTCTATATTGATGATGGTGGTGCCTGAAATGTCTTGAGAACTCATCATTTATCATTGTCAAGGCCGTACAGAAATTGCCAGTGAAAACTCACAACAGCAGGAGGCTGTACACAAAAGGTTACTGAGTTGAAAGGAATGGTGTTCTAGAAACTTATTCCAGTGAGACTGGGTTAATTTCAGTTCTCCAAACTATCATAATTAATCCTTGAATAAGTCTTTTAATATCAATATGCTCTAGTCTCTGTAAAGATCTCTTTGTGTTGTCAAGACTAAAATATGTCTTTTCCTGTTCAGTATCTCAGGTTCTCTTAAACTACGGTGTTCTATAGCTAGCCATGTATTTTAAATTTCATTGTCATTACCAGGAGTGTGTTCAATGAGATGCTAGTTCCTAACACTGCAAAGCAGTAGAGGATAATTTACAGCCCCACACCTAAGCATGATGAGTCCTGACATGAGTTCTACCAAGTTAATTCCCAGAACCTGAAGTAGTTAAGTTCCCCAGTGAGAAAATGACTCCAATTACAACCGAATTCTCAGGTTTGCATCATGCTGGTTAAAGGTGGGGCAGGTATTTCGAGCACCCTCACAGTATTGCCAAGCCCCAAGTGTGGAGTTTCCATGCCACACAATCTTGCAGTATTCTTCTACTCTACAAGGTTTCAATGTTTATTTCATTTCACCATGCCAAATGCCTTAAACATCTAAAGACACAATAGGAAGCTGTTCTGTTGTTGATGATACTGAAATTACCCTGCCTTGAAGTCAGACACAACTTTACCCAAACCCTAAGAACTGCAAAATGCCACGCATAATTTTAATCCCTTTTAGAGGAGCTTCTGTTATGGAGACAATGGTGTGGATAACTACTGATTGTCTGAGACATGTTTTCTCGTTTCAAAAGCCCATGGTGATGCCGTCTGCTGTTCTGTCTTGACAGGCACGAGTATATTCACAGTCTATGAGGCTTCGTCTCAGGAAGGCTGGGTGTTCCTCATGTACAGAGCAATCGACAGTTTCCCTCGCTGGCGTTCCTACTTCTATTTCATCACTCTGATTTTCTTCCTTGCCTGGCTTGTTAAGGTACTAGAAAAAAATGTGCTCACAGTGTATCTATTTTATCATGTTCGGCGAGCGTCTTATTTTATTTGATTTAATTGATCACTAGGTTTCTCCGTCTTCAATGTTTGCTAAATGTGGTTTGCGTTTCCTTTCAGAATGTGTTTATTGCCGTCATCATTGAGACCTTTGCCGAAATCAGAGTACAATTTCAGCAAATGTGGGGAACTCGGAGCAGCACAACTTCCACTGCAACCACACAGGTATCTTTCTGGCGAGATGATTGCCATTCATTCAGCCTCAGGCACCACATCCTCATAGCAGGGAAGTCCTGGGAAACGCTCCTGGAATGGGATGCTACAACATGGCACAGTGGGAGAGCGGTGTGGAAATACAAATGAAGAGGTCCAAAGCCAGAACAGTCATCCCAGACTTTTGCTGTGGTGTGGTGAAGGTCATGTTTAAAAAGCCATGAGTGACTTCAACACAAAACTAAAATTGCCATGTTTATTATGGACCTTTGATTTGATTCCAAGACCACAAGTCCACAAAGGCTTACCGAGTAAATACAACAAGTAGAAGTTTTCATTATTTTTTTTTGACCTTTATTAGTATAACTGCAAGCCTATACAGTGGTCCTTATATGGAGGATTAGAAGTGTTGGTGTTGTAAATGTGTTTAATTCAGAACAAACCAATAAGGGTAGAAGAAACTATAAAGAGGATTCCTCAATTCCCATTGCACAACTGTGGCTCTTGAGAAGTCATCGGTATTCAGTATGGTTTCCTTTGCCCAAAAAGCTAGAGATAGCATGAAATATCACAAAAGCAGCAGAGCATTCAACTATGTTTGAGGCATTCTGATATCCTGTTATTTACTTATTTATTTTTGTTTTCACATTTTGTTTTTTAGATACAGAAAGGGCAAGCTTGCATATATTCTAGAATGAATAGAAAGAGAGAAAAAGAAAAACCCAGAATTATTAATGAAACATTTTAATACTTTTAACATTTTTTAGATTAAATTATGAAAAAAATGTTTGAAAATGGTTGTATAGACTACTGATGGAAAAGCCAAAGTGAAAATTTTATATTGAAGACCTTCTGATTAGACTTTCAGCAATCCTATGTTCAAGTGTTGTTAAACATAGGAAGCTGACATTTATGATGCCACAGATACCAGAATTGTTCAGTCTCTGTTACAAGTAAAATCATGTCAGTGTTACTCAAATTTAACAAAAATAATTCCAACTTCCACGAAAAGAAATTAATATGCTACACAGGTTAAGCCATCAATGCCAGGTTATGACACTTTCAAAGAATCAACCCAGAAAGCCCTTATTCGTTATCTGGTCCCCGTTAGCCTACTGTGAGGTGTAACAGTTTCAGGTCTTCCCTTAGGTGACAGCCTCTTGGCAGGCATGTTTTCTTTGACAGACATTGAGATGTAAATGGAACACAGAGCAGTGAATGCAGCTCTTACATGCAGCGCTCCCAGGCAATGGCCTAAAATGTCCCTAAAATCATATTTTGCTTATTAAGTAACTCTGACAGATAAAAGTCACAGCTGGAAAAGTAAAGCGCCAAACCAGCTAGCAGTTATAATAGGAGACAAAATGTGAAAATTTTGAACAACGTTCGTACAAAATTGCACTTAATGTGGAGGCATAAGTCGGGAATTCAAGAGGGAACGCGCCTGGATGTTCAGCAGAGGTAATCACACAGAGAACTGTGAAAAACCTTCATTAAGAAAAATGCTACGGCTGAGGACCTGGTTGCTAAGCAACCAAAGCTCCTGCAGGCTGCCTCTTGGTAAAATACCACTTAGGCAGCCTAGCAACTGGCTTCAGGCTCCACCCACCACTCAGTCACCACTTCTAAGAGGTCCCAGATGCTTTTATGTGTACAGAAGGGAGGCGGAACATTTGTCTGCCATGCCGGTTACATTTGTAAAATCTAACCAACCTCAGAGCCCGGACTTCTATTTCATTGGTTTAAGGTACTAAATCACAAGAGTCGAATTCGGAGATAATAGGTTCCGAAGTGGTAAAATCATGATGATTATTATATGATACAAAGGTTTTTGGACATGAAGCCATTTCTTGCCTTTATCTACAATGTGGGAAATTTATGATCACTGTGTTTTTCTCACTAAAGAATTAAAGAAGACTGGGAATATTATGCTTATCAATAATCCCTAAATATGTAAATTTCCTATGATAATTATGGTCATAGAAATGTACACATGTATATGCATTCAGACACACATGCGTATATGATGAGGATATAGTAGACTTTTGGACATAGGCAGTCCACTAAAACTTGGCCCTAATATTTCAGAAGAAAAACAGAAACCATGAAAATAAAAATTTTCTTTAAACTATCAAAGTAGTATTTTTTCATTTGAATGATCATTACCAAATATCTCTGAGTAGCCACATAGAAACAAATTAAGGAAATACAAATTTTTAAGCTTTTGTGCATAGCATGTTATGGTGTGCAACAGCAAAATGAAAAGAAACCAGAAAGGATCCTTTCAGGTTCCTAATCATGGACCTGCCTGAGCTGTGCTGGGACCAGTGGCTCCTTCCTGCATAGTTCTTGGGGTCGGCAACTGTTGTCGCATACTCAGAGAGGGACTGGTGTATCAGGCAAAGGTTCACATTCCTTTTACAAAATATGTCTTCTGTTAATTCACAATAAAATTTCTCATGTCAACATATTTAGGGGTGTGGCCCTACAATTGGATGTTAGTATGTGCTGATGTGAGCTAGGAAACCTTTACATGCAGGAATTCTCCCTAATCCAGACCTTCACATATCATACTGAACACCTCCCTTTAGACACTTGCCGGCTCTTCACCTAGATTGCTTAGGCTAAGGATAAGCTGATTTCACTTTGTCCAGAATAAAGTTTAAGGATCCATCAAAGCCCAGAGCCATGCTGACCACTTTTGCACCCTGTGTATGCCAAGAGAGACAACCCATGCATACCTGAATTTTATAAAGGTTCCATGGCCCAATGGCATCCTTTTGGAGTTATGGCAAGTAAGCTTCGTGAAGAGAACAACAGTATTCCTGAGACTTTCATCTGTGACTGAACACTCTTGCCGACACATGCTGTTTGAATTATTATTCTCTAGCTAAGCTACATGATGGATAAGGTGGAGCAGATGCAAGTAAAGGGGTGATTTTGAGTTGTTCCTTCTCTGCCTTCCTGTCAGCATCCTTAGAATTTGTCTAAATGAACTTCTGTAAGAATGTGTGCTCCTCAGCAAGAAAAGCAGAAAGACATAAATGAAAGACACATGAGCAAAAAAAATGGAAAGAATTTATTCACCCAAAAGAAAAGAAACACTCCATATAACCTAATGCTCAACTTGAGGAAAAAATTGCTTAGTGTCCCAAAGCCAGAATTTTCACATGAATAGATATTACTCAGATGTGTGAGAAGGCCAGTAATGGATGCAGCTCAGAGAAGGGCTGTCCCAGATTGGTGTAACAGTGAGCTCTTTCCAGTGAAAAACCTTGGGAATGGATGAAGCCTTTACCATAAGAAGTGAGGAGTGAAAATGAAGCTTTGTGAGACTGACTCACTAAATGTGTTATTTTGCTGAATATTTTTTCTAATTCGTTTTGACATAGGGTCTCACTCAATAGCCCAGGAAGACTTGAACATATAGTGGTTCTCCTCCAGCCTCCTGAGTGTTAGTCTCATGTGTATGTACTGACATTCATGGATTAAACATATTTGATTAAAAATTTGAGCCAGGTAACCATGCTCATGAGTTTAATAAATAATCTGTCTTTAAATACTTAATTTAAAAAGAGCAGAGCAATTTCAAAATAAAGTTTTTCTCCACAGTACATATGTCTATATATGTGTGTGCACATTTTAGGTTTATAATTTTAATTCACTTTTTTAAGATTCCCATTGCTTCTTTTGTGATTTATCTGACCTCACTTCAATGGATAACCTGATGACTGGGATGATGTTTCGTCCCCAGACAAGAGTATTCTTAACTATTTTGTAAATCAAGCTGCCCATCACAAAATTCTATCTTTTTAAAAGAACAAGCTTGAGCTAATTCATGGGGCTGAAATCCTCATTCTTCCCCAAATGCTTGTACTAAGAGGGACATGTCCATGGATGCCCCTTACATTGTGATGGATACTGTCACTCCCACTAACTGATAGCATCTTCTTGTAATCGCTACACTATATCAACAGGGGCATTTAGCATAGAACAGTGACACTACAACCTGTCTTAATTCCTACAGCAATATTATGAAGTGGGTACTTTTATTGCTTCCATATTGCAGATTAAAAAATGGCAAATAGGGATAATTTCATTATGTTGTATGATTGTAGATAACATGAGACTCCATTCAGGTTGCCAAGACTTCATTTTTACTCATTGTGAGTTCCTTCCTCATTTCATCTGTATTTTAATAAATAAAGCTTGCCTGAAGATCAGAGAATAAAACAGTTCCACTGGTGAGTCTTACAGACCAGGTTGTGGTAAAACACACTTTTAATCCCAGTAGCCACACTAGTTGCCATAGAAACCAGGCAGTGCATGCCTTTAATCCCAGTTCCAGAGAGGACTATAAAATGGGAGAAAACAGTTCTCAGTCTCAGACTCATTATGAGATTCCTGGAGGCAGGATCACCATTTCTGAACTGAGGTCGAGGTAAAAGTCAGTGGCTGGCTGCTTTGCTTTTTAGGTCTTCAAATTGAGCCCCAATTTCTCTCTCTGAGTTTTTATTAATCATGCTTCATTTGGAACCCAATATGGGGCTGTTTTACTCTCTGATCTTCAGTCAAGCTTTATTTATTAAAATACAGATAAAATGCCACATTTTACCTTTCTGTCTAAAATAAAAAAGAAGTCTATAATAATATAAAAATACACACCATTATTTATTATAATATAGCCATTGCAGGCTACTACCAGTGTCCTCTCTGTTCTATCCCAATGTGAAATTCTCTGTCCTTAAGAAGATGACACTTACTGCTGATTGATAAGGTCCTCCTAAGTCCATTCCTAGAAGAAAATTGTCTTAGTTAAAGTTTCTATTGCTGTGAAGAGACATCAGGACCACAGCTACTCTTAAAAAGCAAAACAATTAATTTGGGATGGCTTAGAGGGTCAGTGGTTAGTTGCATGTCATCATCAGGAAGCAGGTGGTTCAAAGGCAGACATGGTATTGGAGAATGAGCTGAGAGTTATTCATCTAGATCTACATCTGCAAGCAACAGAG